CACTCCAGTCCCGCCTGAGGCCGCGCGGCGCCGCTGCACATCGAGGCCGTCTGGCCTGCTGGCGCCTGGCGCGAAGGCGCCTCGCAGCCCCTGCCGCCGAAGCCACCGTTCCTCGCGCAAGGCCCCGTCGGCGTGGAGGCGCGTCTCCTGCACGAGCCAGCATTGTCCAGCGTGCGTCTCACGCACCATGGCCATGGCCCGCGCACCATCTCGCGGGAGGCCACGCATGGATGCGAACGGCTCCCGGCACGAGGCGCTCGCCAAGATGGAGGTGAAGGCCTGTCCCAGCTTGCCGCCCCCGCGGCGGCGCTGGCCGCTAGGTAGCGGGCGGGCTGCCCTGGGCGCGGGTGGCGCGGTCGGCTCGCGCCGCGGCCTTGAGCTCCGCGAGTCGCTCCGAGGTGGGCGCGGCGCTGCGAGCGGCGGGGCGGGGGGCCGAGCGCTGGCCGGCCGCCGCAGGGGGCGGCCCGCCCTCGGGGGGTGGGGCAGCCGCGGAGGCCCCATCAGCATCATCGCCGCCGCCAGCAGGCTTGCCGTCGTCATCAGGGTCAGGCCGATCAGCCTCGCACCCCATGCGGCGTCTTGGTCCTTGAGCGGAAGTCCTCCTGCAGCTTCTCGAGGGCCTCGCGCCGCTTCTCGAGCTCGCCCGCCGCGGGCTTGAACATGGCCACCACCTGCTTGGAAAAGTCCGCCGTGAACCTCTCGAGGGTGGCGCCCCAGTCCGCTTGCTCCTTCGGGGCGAGGGTGGCGCCGTCGAGGTCGAAGGCGGCCCCGAGCTAGAAGCAGAGGCCCTCGCGGCCCTCCAGCACCGAGGAAGAGGTTCACCGAGACTGGAGCTGCGGCCGCCTCGCCCCGCATCTCCACGCAGCCCTTGGCGCGCGCGATGGCGCGCGCCTGCCCCTCGAGGGCCGCGGCGCGCTCGACAGCGAGCTCGCCCTCGCGGTCTGGTCCCTGGTCGAGCCGCACGCGGGCCGCCTCAGTGGCGCCCATGGCCCCGTTGAGGGCCTTGTTTACCCATCTGGCGGCACCCCAGGCGCGCCGGCGCCCCAGGCGCGCTGCACGGCCTCGTCGGGCAGCTCGGGCTTGGGCACGGCGGGGACGGGCTGCTGCGCCGCGGCCAGCCCCTCAAGGGCCTTGGTGGCGGCCTCTGGGAGCTCCTCTTTGCAGCGTTTCCTCCCGTGTGGATTTGACGACAGCCTTGCCCCTTGCCTTCGTCGCCACTCCCCTTGGCGTCGCGCCACGGCGGGCGGCTGCACTATCTGCCGCCGCGCCCGCTGGAGGCGCCAGGTCCTGCGGCTCCCTTGTCGGCGCACGCGCCCTCGGCCGCCCTCGCGGGCGAGGCGGATGGGGCCAGGCAGTGGCCGAGAGCGGGTCTCCCACGTCCATCTGCACTGACACTTCGAGCACTTGGTGAACCCGTCCAGGCCTCCACGTCGACCATTGCCTCCCATGCCAATGTGCGGCTGCCGAGACGGAACACTTTGCATCGCTGGAACGAGCAAACCCTGCAAGGCTTGGCAGCTCGAGCAGGCTGTGCGATTGGCAACTGATGCCAGGGACTTGGGGCACTCGAGCCGGCACGACGTCGACCACGACGACGACGACATCAACGACGGAGACGACGACGACGACGACAACGGCGACGACGGTATGACGACGACGACGACCACGACGACGATGATGATGACGATGGTGGTGATGATGATGATGGTGATGACAATGATGGTGATCATGATTGTGGTGGTTATGATGATGATGATGATGATGATGATGATGATGATGATGATGATGATGATGATGATGGTGATGATAGTGGTTGAGGTGATGATGATGATGGTGGTGATGATGGTGGTGACGACGACGACGACGATGACGCGGACGGCGACGACGATATGATGACGACGACGACGACAGCGACGACGACGGCGACGATGGTCATGGTGGTGGTAATGATAATGGTGATGATGATGATGATGATGATGATGATGATGATGGTGGTGATGATGATGACGACTGTGGTGGTGATGATGATGATGGTAATGATAGTGAAAAGGATGGTGATGATGGTGGTGGTGTGGGGGCCATGATGATGATGACGAGGGTGACGAAGGTGTGACGACGACG